AAGATCCGTGCCAAACCCTTGGCTGCGCCAGCCCACGCCTGCTCCCCAGCACCTGCTGCTGCATGGGCACAGGCCACCTATGCTGTCAGCAACAAGAAGAGCACGGTGCTGGTGTGCCATAAGTGAAGGTCCTTGCCAGGACACCAGTGAACCCCTAAAGGCAGCTGCCCTTAGGAGGAAAGCAGGCTGCGGCTCTTCTGAATGCCGCAGCTCCCACTGGTGGTGGCAGTGCTATGGGGCCGTGGTGAAACCCATAGCCGAGGGCAAGGGGGAAAAATCCAGTGTTGCTGCTCCAGCACTCTGAACCAAGCAGTGCCAGAACAGCCCACTGGCTGAGGGGCAGAGCTCAGCTGGTGCCACCTCCATTGTCACCATGGTGGTTGGGGACCCACCTGTCTTGCGGCTGGCCTTCCCAGGTGGCTGCAGTCAGATGGGGTGTGAGAGCACCGGCTTTGAAAGCACACTTAGGAACAGTAACTTGCTGCTTCCCCACAGTGTATAATTTTGGAAAGATGGGAGGAGGGCCATCTGGAAAGGGTGTCCCTGCAGCTCCTCACTTGGCATGGTAGAACCATCTTTTATTATCCTTTGGGGCTACAGCTGAAAACAGAAAATGCTTTCATTTCAGTTTGGCAGCAGCTCTGGTTGTGTGTGCTCTGGCTGCTTCCTTAATTACAGTGGTTGTTGACAACTTCTGATAGAGACCCTCTCTTTGAGCAGTCCCCCTACTCCCCCACTTTTTTTGCAGTCTGAACACATAACAAACCAGGACAACGTTCTGTAAAAATAAGCTCACTGTAACTCAGTGATTCTCATGCCACAGTTACGCTCTCTTCTGTCCTCTCAGTTTGTGCTGCTGCTGTTTATTTCCTCTTTCTGGCTATAAGACGTTTTATTTATTAGTGCTGGATTTCCTGTTGCCTGCAGCTGCCCGTTCTTTACTCTCCCCTGTGCATTTTGCCACTGGAGGCTGTCTGTAAGTTTGTTGTCCCACTGACTGAGGTACTCTCGTCAAGTTTAGTTGGTGGTTGTATTAAACAACACTTAACAAAGAGGGGGCTTGCATGGCAGCCTGGGCATACAAACACACCCCTTCTCTCCTTCCCCTCCCAAAACAAACCAAAGGCTGGCATGGTAAGCTCTCAGAGGCAGGGGAGGGGTCCCTTTTTTATGACTTAGTGATGCTTTTTCAGATGGCAGGAACACTTCTTGTTTTGCTTGCAGACACTGCACCACACAAGAGAAGTCAGCTCTTTGAATGCACATGCCGGCAGGTCAGACTGACAAGGAGTTAGAGGTTTGCAATTATTTGTATTTCAGACTGTGGGCCACATCATGGTAGAAACATCACGCCGACTTTACACACGTGAGGTTCATGAATGAACGTCCCTTATCTTTTGTGGACATTCAACATCCTTGTAGTAAACAGAAAAATTGCTTATACAGAAAGTGAGATCATGAAGTGGAAAAAATGTTTTGCTGCTTTGAACATTATTTCCCTGCTGGAAGGAAGACGGCAGCAAAAACTCTTCATGCTCTGTGTATTACCAGCAAGGCCAGTTGGAAAACCTTATTCATCAACACTGGAGGGAAGTGCTTCATCTAAATTCTCTGTTGTCCAATAGCTATCTGGTGTTATTTCAAATGGCAGAGAAGTTGAAGCAGCACCTAATGGTAATATTCTCTCTCTTGTGTTTTATGTGCAAAGTGCTGCCTTAATTTTATCATCTTCTCTTTCTGTTTGGAAAGGATTTGAGGCCCAAAAACTGAGTAATGAGTGTTAGGGGTGAAGTGAACCCCAAGGCATGGAGGTGCTTTTTACAGCAGTGCAGCCATGGTCCTGTCGGGATGTGATCCTTTCAGCTGTTGTTCATGGTGGGCAGTTGCTGGCAGAGAAGCTCTGCAGGTGCAGCACCATTTAGACACTTCTTCCTTTGTGTCAGATGTTCAAGAGCTGCCCATGACCATTAAATAGGGAACAGTCCATCTTCCAGGTAGAATGGAAATGGGAGATCCTGAGCATTTGAGTTATGAAAGATCCCAGTGTGTTACCTGCAAGCCAGTGTTTTAACCCCAGTGTCCTGGCCAAATTCCAGGTCTGCTAATTACATCCTGCCTATGTGAAAATTCCCCTACATTTGTACACTGCTTTCTTCCTTGCTTGTTTTCAGCAGCTGTGTCAAGTTGCCAGGTGCGGCAAAGTGCTTGCCATGTTCCACCTCAGGCCTGGCTGCCTTTCAGCAGGGAATGAAATGAGCACTGTGCACAGCATTTGCACTGAGTCTGGATCCTCTGCAGGGAAGAGTGCTAGAGAAGCAGCCAACTCAAGGACCAGTGCTGGAGCCTCGTCACAAAAGGTAGCAGCGTTAAGAGGCCAAAGGTTCTAGTGCTGGGGTACGTCGTAAGGTCACAGGAGAGACAGGAGGACTGATTTCCCTCCCAATATCCATCTACAAGGACTGAAATAGCTGGTACATACTGATCTGGTTTTGGTAGCTGACTGACTTCAGGTTTGTTTGCACAGTTGGAGAAGCTCTCAGTCCTGCTTACACTGATCACTGTCAATATACATCCAGCATTGCATGTCTGGTTATCCATCAGTGTGAACAAGGGAAGCTAAGGGGAAAATAATTTAAGAACTTAAAATCTATAGATTTGTTTCCTTCTCTTCCACTTCATAACTCAGGTGCACATTGGTTTTTGCTTGGCCCTGCTGGGAACAACCCTCTTCAACTGACCATTAATCCCTCTGGTAAAATCTCACTCATACTATGGGAGAACTGGCTGATGGATTATCCCTCTCTTCTGAAGAGGTGAAAGAAATGTCTGCAGCTGTAGTTACAGGATGCTAATAATAAGAAGCAGTAAGAAATGCAGGTCACATACAGAAGGATAATGAAATTACATATATTCAATACAGGAGTGACTTATTGGCTCATCTGTCCAATTTTCTTGTCAGCCAAGCTCTCTTGTTGATTATGGCATTTTTACCACAGTTCTGCCTGAATATTATATGGAAGTACATACAAACGTCTTTGAGGTTGCTCCCAACAGAACACCAATCCACTGGCAGCAGTGGAGGCAGAACATGCCCACGGCAGACTGAGCAGTGACTTGATTTTTTTTCCCCCACCTCACATTCCTCTTTGATCTTTTCAACATCTTAATTCCACAGGACAGCAGTTGTGAGCAAGGGGGAAAAGCCAAGGTTGTCTCAAGGTGTGATGCCTGCATGTTTTCACTATATCCTAGGAAGGGAAATAGAGCAAGCCTTGGAAAGGGAGGGAATGTGTGTTGTTCACACATTCCAGAAGAATGACAGAAAGCTGGGACTCAAAGATTCAAGTCGTCTTACCATGCTGCCCCTGTGACTTCAGCAAAGCATAACTATTTTGGTCTCAGTAGCCCTGTCTTTAAACTGTACTTGCTTCACGGGGATAAGAAGAAGGAGATTAAGCTCTAATTCACTAATGTTTGTAAAACATTTTAGAACTTGATGGAAATTTCCCAGGTAGTGCAGAGAGCATTAAAAAGCTTATCTCCCTCTCCAACTGCAAATGGCTCTGCAATATGAGAGAAATGAGTGAAAACAGTGCTTGCATTCTGGTGTTTATAATAACGAAACCCTCTAGCTTCCCCTCTCAATCCTTCCATGTTTTTTTTAAACAGGGAGAGACAGAAATGAGAAATTTTAGTCTAAACAGAGTGCAGTTGCTCCCTGGAGACTTGAATGCAGCTCAGTGGAATTTTCCCTGCCTTTAGTCTTTTGTACTTCTTAAAGGTCCTGGAACCAGGCATGTGACTGTAAGAGCAAAAAACACTTCTCTGTCTGAGTGCTCTACCAAATATTTACAAGATACTCAGATAAAATGGCTACAAGCAAGTTCAGCAGGGTTTGAGTGGCCGGTAGTGCAGCACTGTCAAGAAGAAAATCTAAATCTTAGCTAAACAAAATTAAAATTACATGTTACAAAGGTCTCTTCAAAGCACAAAACTGGTAACACTGAAGCTGGAAAATTGCTCTTCCCCAGGGTGAAATGTATTACTTTTAGAAGCAGCTTATTGAAATGCAGTAGCCTCCTTGTTGTGATGGAAACTTCCTTGTTAAAGGAGAGCCCAAAACTGTGTGAGCAGGCGTGCAAGCAGAGAGCTGCAGAGATGCCCTCTCCATGTCATCCTGTCTGGTGGCTGGGAGTGATGCAACATCAGCTTCCACATCTCTGGCACTGCAGTACTTTTAGTAGGGTCCATGTGCTCCCAGGAACTCTCTCTTCACCCCCAGACTGCCTAGCAAACAGCAGATGGCAACCTGCCTGGCTCCCGAGGTGGCCCCACTGCAGCTCATTTCCTTGCTGGGTTACCTACAGCCATTCTGCAGTTCACCAGACCTCTCCTATTTCTGTACAGGTTTCTCTGCTTTTCAGGAGGGTGCTCAGGGAGGCTTTCCCTGTGGTGGCAGAGGACAGGACCAGCCTCTCAGGCCAATGGTGATGGTGCAGTGGCAGCTGGCACTAACTGAAGCCATGGCATGTAGGCTTGAGAGCCAGGAACAATCCTGATCACGGCACAGCCAGTGATGCTTTTAGTGGCCTTGAGCAAGTCATACATTCTCTAAGTCTGCAAGGTGAGTAGTTCTGTGGTTTGCAGTCATGTTGTGAATACTTCAAAAGTGCTTTGAAGACAGAGAAGGCTGAGCAGATGTAATACATCTATCTTCCCACTGTTTAGATTGCTACCTGTTCTAACATTCTGAACAGTCAGAGTCCAGCTATTTGTAACTCTTACAGCATCTCTGATGATTTCCAAGTGAGTTACAGGAATACGTATTTACTGTACTATTGCGTCGTAATTAAGCCACTGAGTGGGCTTATCATTCTCTTAAAAAAAAAAGAACATTTCACTGTGTTTTGGGCTGTGGACACTCCTGTGCTTGGCCATTGGTTCCTCCAAACTGATGAGGTGGTGAGGTGAATTAGGAAGGCACATGGGGCCTACGCTTCTTCAGTACCATGTCTATTGTTCAGAGGCTTTTATTATTAAGTCACTTAAATTAACCTAAACAAAAGACAGTTTTTGCATAAGTTCAGAGTTAAGTATGGCCTCACACATACAAAGAACAGCATTTGGTTTTAAAGTTAATCTTTGAAGGGACAAAAGAAGAAGAATGCTCACTCTGCTCCACCAGATTTTTGAAAACCAATGTCCTCATTCATTCAAGTCTTTGGGGAGGTTTCGTTTGTCCTTTCTATACATTTGATGCATTTCTTGATGCATTTCTTGAAGTCTCACCAGTAGTGCTGGGCAAAGCAGCATCATGTAGAGTATCTTTCAAATCAGTGGTCCTCACTCGTATGGGCTGCAGGGCAGGATTGGTTCCTTCCCAAACTAAATTTGTTTGATCCTTTGGGTCTGAAACACACAATGAAAACAAGACACTTCAATCACAGTATTTCTGAATGAGATAGCAAAGTTGCCATTTCCTCCAGCAAACAACCACTTGGAAACCCATTTAATGCACAAAACAAATCAAGGTAATAAGTTCACTATGAACTAATCTTACAGATTTGCTGAAAAGGGATTGACATGCATGTAATGATCCTCTTTTTTCTGCCTGTCTAGTTGTCCTTCTAGTTACCAGTGTCCAAACTCTCCTTCTCATTGTGGCTGGCAGATTTTCTGATGTGCTCTAGAGCCAAACTTTAGACGAGTTGAGGGCCCTTTACCATTTTTTGCCAGAACTCTGCAAAGGCCAGTATGCATTTGCTGAGAATACTGTACTTGCTAGGGTACTTTGCACCACCCTAATTTTCCAATAAAACTGATTTTTGGTAACCAGTACCTATGAACAGAGAATGGGATGTGCAAGAAGATGGACATTCAGCTCATACAGCTCATGTACAACATTTTCTAGAGATAAACAGAGCACAGCTTATAGCAATATATTTTCTAACTAATAGCAAATTGCCTTGGATTCAGAGAAAATATTATGGCTCCACTTTATATGCTTTATTAGTATCTAGGCTGAGATCAGAGCCTGCTTCCCAACCAGTATAAGCTGCTCCTCTTCTAGTCTTTGTCCTCTGTCAATGCCAGGCTGTAAAGTGCTTTGGGATGAAGCTCTCTATGTAAATAAAGGATATTATATGACTGTGATTAGACACTTTATGGAGAAAACGGACTGTTTGTGGGAGGAAATATTTAAAACCAAAATGAAAGCCTTCCTGAGCAACCTGCAAGCTGATGAACACAAGCTGAAGAAACACACACAGTTACCAGGACCAAAATATCCAAGGTACTAATCATCAGTCAGATCATGTCATGTCCTCAGGTTTGCTGCTATGAACTGTGTTGCAAGGCATCCCAGGCCTATTCAAATACATATTTCTTTTCCAGTCTCTCCAGCTGACCCACTGAAACTCCATCACAGCACAGAGAGCCCTCAGGTGCCTGAAGGACTCTGCAGAACAGCCAGCTCATACCTGGGCTGATTTCTACTGTGCTGTACCAAAGCTTTGTATAAAGTAGACCTGAAAGGAGGAAAGTGAAAGGAAGGATATTTCACAGTAACAAGCCATGATTAACAGAGAGGATATTGTAGAAGAAACCCAAGGCTTATTACACGGGTGGTCAAAGTAAGCTGTGTCTCAGTTTTCCTCTTCCTCTTCAGCCCTGTTTGGTAACTGTACAAAAAGCAACTACACTAGAAAAGAGTTGCTCATATAGCTGTCCTGGTATAACCATACTGACAATGAGGATAACTCTCATTTCCCATATTCCTTAAGGGAAATATGCTACACTGACAAAACCACCTCTGAGACTGTTTAAAACAGCTTTGGTATTTACTGCAAGGCACCTACAGTATTACCCAACTGTACTTAATGTTAATATAGAGCTGGCTTGACAACCCAAGTGAAGTTGTCTATACTCCATCTAGCTTTGGGAGAGGGCTGTCAGGAAATGTATCTGGGAACTTATTTCAATAAAAAGATGGGAAAGAGTAAGCAAGCAATTCTTTCCAAAGAAACAGCGCATAGAGAGCCTCTGAGAAGTCTATATTCTCATCCTATGCAAACAAACAAACAAACAAATCCCCAAGCCCCACTCTCCAAGCAAGAGAACAGAAAATACCATCTGTCTTCAAGAAGAATCCAGGCATTCCATAGTCATGATGTACTAACTTATGAACATTGTCATTCTCAGTGCATAAAAGATAACAAAAAATAGTTTTGTAGTGTCATATTAGCCAACTACATTTTTGAGCTTTAGATAACCCAGTAAACATGCATTTTCAAGATGCTGTCTCTTTTGGTTACTTGTTTCTGTTAAACCATGATGTTTAAAACAAATCACAGGAATCTTGGGAGACTGTTTAACACCACTGCTTTTTGAACAGCATCACTCAGGAATTCCAGGCCAAATGAGTCTCAGGCTTTGTAAAGTGGATGACCATAGTCTTTAACTACAAAAATACCAGAGCTTTTTTCTAGTCTTCAGTAAGGTCCATTTTCTACCAAACACGGTTTGTATAGGAAGCTATGCATGATACCACCCATCCATAATCACAAAATATAAAACATAACACAGGGTTTTTTCCACACTGTTTTTCTAGAATAACTGCTGGTTACTAACAGGTCTTGAACAGTTCCCATTGATTTTGTATGGAGTAGCAATACCCAGTTGTATCTGCACATGAAGCAGGCCTATGTGCTACATAAAACTGCTTAGATTTCTACACAAGCTCTGATTTGATCTTTTCTTATCTTCTCCAAGTGATTCAACTCAGAGAACTGGCCTGATTATAAGTAAGGATATGTAACCCTTTTGTGGCGCTAGAAGCCATTGCAAAGTTATTTGTACTGTATGTATGCAAATCAGCTTTGGTTTGAGGTAGTCTAGGAGAAGTTTGAGGGGGATTTCCCTGCTTTATGTAATCACTGTTGCTTCTTAGCTTCCTCTATTCACATGGCCAGGAGACATAGGCTTGATACTGCTGGTAGTTTCTAAAACTCAATTTGAAAGCAAAGGTAATGTACTCGGCGACCTACAGCAGTCCTGTGGCTTTCAGTAAATCCTCAGATGATGGTTCAGTGATATCTGGAATGAAGGAGGCCTGAAGGAGCAGTAAGAGAACAGTGTTACAGACTTCACTTGCTGGCATATTTTGACAATGGTCAGCAGCCCCTATCTCTTAGCAGCCCACAGTGCTGCTCAGACCACACTGCTTCTGGCACCCAGCTAAACCTGCTCAGGGCTTGGCTGGGTATGGCTCCCTACCCACTGGATCATGCTGTACACATTGTGGTGTTATTATTCCAAACTGGAAGATTTATAATTCAGCAACTACCCAGATTCTGAGAAACACACTTACTGAAAACCACTGAGCTAAGGGAAATACAGCAGGTGAAGTAAGCATGGTGGCACTGAGGAGGAAGGAAATCTCCCTGCACTGTGCTGATAAGAGTGTGCTTGATATATACTGTGTTCAATCTGCACAATCCACAACTGGGAAAACACAGGCTAGATGAAGGAAATTCAGCTTGGGGGCCCTAGGGACTGGATTAGTCTGTTAAAATGCTTTGTTAGTTTTATTTATCACTACTTAATTAGGATGCTTGACCAACACACTGGAAAGATAGTAACTGTTAAATATTCAACAAGTTGACCTTTCAGTTACAATATTGCAATTCTGAATAAAGTTCATGGAAAGTTTGTCCTTCCTAGGTACTCCAACAAAGCCAAAGGGAACTAGACTGGGCCAAAAAAATAAAAAAGTGAGAAAAAAGTAGGGCAGTACTGCTTAAAAATCCAAGTCTCGCTACAGGCTCATTGAATGATCTCAGGCAAGTTGTTTCCTGCCCTGTGCTTCAATTTTTCCCATCTGTAAAAAGAGTACAACAATGTTGATCTTCCTTGTAAATCGCTGAGATGAATGGCTAAAAACGCAGTAATATATTATTAATGACTTATTATTATTTCTGAGAAAGAAAAAGCAAAGAAAAGAAGTTATCAATCTTTCAAGGTTTTCTCAATCCTCATAAAAAATAAAAAAGTACAACAGAATGTGAATTTCACACAACTTTTGGCAAATTACCTTTAAGAAGAAACAGTGGGTACACAATTAAAAGAAAGTTTAAAGTGAGCAGACACTCAGGAAAACACTCCAGATGGTGAAATGAGTTAGGCTGCAGAGCAGGCTCCCACAGGAAGCGATGAAACCCCCATTGTTTGAGACATTTGAAACTGAATTCCTCAAAGTGCTGGTATATACAATACAAGGAATCAGTCTACACTGTCCCAAAGTATAGTGGCAGTCTGATGACTTGAGAGAACTACACCTTCCATTACTCCAATTTTAAGAGAGAAATAACTCTGACTATGGAGGGCTGTAGATCTTTCATCAATATAGTACCTGAGGAACATCTGCTGGGGAGTAACTGCACTGTTTTTGCAGGAGATGGATTTATCAACCCTTAACAGATCTTTCACAATCCTAATTCTGATGTCTTAACTTTGCATGTCGTAGAGGGGAAAGCCCCCCCATTCTCTGATAATTACAGTATGTATCCTACTATTTATTTCCTTTATTACAATCTAAAGAGAAACTGGGTGGCTTGATTTTTACAGGCAATGGTCTGCAGAAGAAATACCATTATTTTAATGGGAACCAAATGAGCAATCATTACATAAATGGCATTATGAGACACAGAACTAAAATGTTAAATGCTTGGGTGAAACTCATCAAGATGGGAACTGACAGCTGTGTGCTGGAACATTGGGGTTTCTCTACACTCAAGATACTACTGCAAACATTTTCCAGTGCTTTTAATGCTAGTTCAGCTCCTCTGGAGGTAGCTCTGGAGGGCATCTGACTGCTTCTGTTGTTATTGGCTTTAAAACCTTAAGACCATCTCTGAAATCCAAATTTAGAGCTTTGGGCCAGTTTTATTGATAGAACTTGGTTAACTGGTTGGAGTGAGTAGAGCAAGAAAGCTTTTTGAAAGAAGCTGGAATTAAGAGTTTTAATACCTTCATTTCCTCTTGGTCTCATACCTGCTAGTACACAAAAACATGCTATGAATGGATTCAGTTGGCAGATGAGCACTAGTGATCCTGTTATACTCTATTCACCAGGGCAGGGCAGCCATGGAGTGCTCCTGATCCCTTCCCAGCTCCTTAGGCAGGAGATCTGGTGGAAGGAGCAGAGGGATGTGCACCCCAGCATGCCTTGCCTGCTGCCTCTGCCGAGGAGGGCTGGCACTGCCTGCACTTCCCCCGTTCCTGGCCAGAGACTCAGCAATTTCCTCAGGAATGAATCACGAACAAAAAACCAAACAACAGCTATTTAAGAAGGTTTCGTCTCCCTCTGGAACTGTCCTGAGCAGTATCATATTCCTGACAGTTTATTCTTC